CAGTCAGTTCTAGTAACTCATCACACTGTGATCTACATAACCTCTGCTGATAATTGACTAGAGTCAGTATGCTCACTGTTCAAATATTTAACATTCATCAACATTATTGTACTTGGTGTCTGAGTAACCTTTTTCAAAGTTGACTCTATTCACTGCCTATTTCTATTACATTTTTCATAATATTAAGTCTGTTTTTTTTGTTTTTTTTTTTCTTCAGGTACTGCTTTTGTGCATTCAGCCTGTAATTCTCAAAACTTTGTGCTTGTTTTCTCATTTAGCTAATGAGTAGTTCTCAACAGAGTAAAATAAAACCTTGCTTTCAAATGAAGGTTATTTGTAATACAAAAGGATGTATTTCGATTGCAGGCTATAGAGTAATTTAAGAATACACAAGACAGTTTTAAGTAATGATAAGGGAGCTAAAATCAGTTCGTCAGCAATATAGCCCTTTACTTGAGTTAATTTAACCAGCAAAGCAGAGAAAACTTCAGCTCATTGACTAGGAGGTCCTTCCACCTCATGGTGTGGAACAGCAATGAAAAATCATGAATCCATGACACCTGAGACACTGCAATACTTGGCACGTTTCAGACGTGTGACAGACTTAGCACAGAGGTGTCAGAACTGGAGCGGAATAAAAATTATGGCTTCTTAAGGATTCTCAAACATGATGTGTTATATCCACTGCTTGAAGTTAAGAGTAGAGCTATGATTTTAAATTTAGCTTTACTCAGAGCAATTTAAATAGGATTCATATCTTGTTCCTAAATAAAAAGCCCGTAAGCTTTTCATTTGAGAATGAACCCCTTAGAAATATCAATGGAAAAAATGCAAAGAAGGGGATGATTTAAAAAAGATGAAGGCATTCTTTTATTGCTGCATTTTTCACATATTTTGTTACCTTAATAAAAGAGAATGATAAAAGTTTTCAGCATTGATTTCTACTGAGAAAAGGTATTGTTCCACTAGACCAAATGTAATATTTGATGACTGCTATTATACCTAACAAACAATGTAAACAAGGTACCACTTCTTTTTATATTTTGTTTTCTCATATTTTACTTATGTTACTTACAGGACAAGCCATTGGGACTCTTTGTAACCTGGCGTCTTCTGAACATGAAATACTGGATTATTGCACAATGCAACATAATGGAAACTACACACTTGATGAGATTTGAGTCATTAATTACAAAGCAGCACTAATGACATAGTAGATGGTTACTTCATTAAGAACAAACGTCAACTGAATTTCATTCTAGTGTCCAAGGTTTTTGTCTGAGCTCTAATTTGACCTCAAAAAGCATGGTGAAAAATTATTCCCGTAATTTAACTTTGTAAATAAGAGTGAAAAACATTGTTCAGTTTGATTGTGAGCTAGACATAAGCAGCTGGATTCTATGAACAAAAATGTAGTTTCTAATGCATTTAACCAGTGTACAAAAAGAATATATTAAAACATACAGGCCAGTAAAATGGTTTCAACTTTATAATTGTAGAAGAAAGATGTCTGTGTAGTTATTTTCCTTTGGAAGTTCTGTATTGATTACTACCATAACACTGTTGCATATTTTTGATCAGAATTACCTCACTATTGTATATCTTCTAAATTATAACATTCTGTAGAAAAGCCATTCTCCCACAAACAGAAACTGTAAAAAACAAACAACAACAAAAAGAACACTTAAAACAAACAAAATAATCCCACACAAACAACAAACAAATTAATAAAATCTGTCATTAACTTGATTACTTTTTTTCATCCAGGTTCCATAATTGGAGGCAGCAATTTTATCAGCTCAGGCACCAAACTTTAACAGACTCATTTCTTGGTTACAAAACCCAGAAGCAATATAAAAATGGGAAATATTCAGGGACTTTTCTGAATTTTCAAATGCACTGTTCTGACAGTCAAAATGAAGAAAGTAATAAATCTGCATTTTTTTTAGTGATAATACAGTTGACCAATTACTGCTGATTACTCAAGAATCTGTCTTGTTGACACATTTCATTGCAAGAGTTCCTTTTCATTTTTCTTTTGGAAGAACAATAAATGAGCTAATTTTTTTTTCTTTATCTTATTTCTACTGTAGAAAATTATTGGCCAATATGTGCATGTCTGATAAGAGCAGCAGAAGAAACACAGGACCAGGATGAAGAGTACACAAGAAAGAAGAGATGCGAAGATATGTATAGGTAATATAATCGAGGTTAATACTAGCAAAAATCAAGATATTTAATTGGTATTTATATGTATATAATAAGCACAACACTTTGTGGCCAAAAATGTTTAGGTAAACTCTAGTAGGCATAAATTCTTGTTTTAGTAGCTTACAGGTTACATTTGCAATTGCTGCCCCTCCTCAGAGGAAGGCCAGGCACCATGCTGGGCAGGAGGAACTGACAGATGGCTCTAAGAGGGCAGTTTCAAGACGGTTTAGATTAGAGGATTAAGGCTGGAGCAACCTGCTGGAGGAGGGAAGAATTTGGAAGGGCACCAAGAAGTGCACTAATGTGAATACCAGCTGCAGCTACAGCAGCTTTTTAAATAGTCGCTTTAATTACAAATCATTTTGGAATACAAATTTGGTGTCCTTTCTAATTACTCAGCATGAGGTACAAGAAACATGGTGGCAAAGGTCAATCTAAAAAGACTCCGAGCATGAAAAATACTGTCGTTAGCATGAAAACAAACCAGAATGAAAATGAGAAGCAGACAGCACAGAGCTTTATTCTAGACAAAAACTCCCCTACAGGCATGGAAGCAAACACCACATTTGTACTGAGAGCTGCCTATAGGACATAGAGATGAAAAAAATAAAGGCAAAGCTTTTTTTTTTTTTTTACTATCTTACTGGGAAAAAAATAACAAGTGATGCCACCTCCAGGAATAATGCCTGAAGCACTGAAGGGGTGTTCCTGTGTGACTGATGAATACTAAAGCCGATAAAACACAGACTGTACAGAAATAAAATTCATAAGTATCATAAGTAGAAGAAAGAGATCCATTACAAAATGCACTCGAATGGGCTATGGGAATCTAGAAGGCAAAAAATGCTAGAGAGACCTAAAAAGCTGAACTGCGCACTGTATAACAGAGCATATAAATTTGGAGACCATTCCTTTGGTCTCCAAAGTGCTTGTGAAACTGAACTTGCTGTATCACAGCACTGTTTCCACTCTGGGAAGGGAAGGCATCAATTAGACCTGAATGCTTAGAATAAAAGAGTGACATTTGCAGTGTTGCTGCAGACGATCTGAACATTGCTCAGATGCTGCAGCAGACAGCACGTGACACAAGTGATGAATTTGCAGCTATGCTTTTACATCAAGAGCCAATTGAACCTTACTGTATGTTGCCACATACTGTCATGACAAATAACTGCAATATTGACAAGTGCGCTTAAACTATTCTGCCTGTGAAACCCAGTATCTGAAATGTCTCATTCCCTGCAAGTGATATTTCACTTCTCAATTGCTCAGTAGATGTCTGCAGAGTCCAAAAGTGAAAAACTATGTTTACATCATTCCAATGCTGTCAGATTCATGACAGAAATGTTCTTTCCTTTTTTGTTACATAGCAAATCATGTACAATGAAAAGAATATTAATAAAACTATAGTAAAATATTTCAAAGAATGCCATGATTAAGGTTGCTTGTGATGCACATTTTAGAAGGTTCAGAAGTTTTCAAGTGAATTTGATGTGGGTTTTTTGTTGTTGCTGTTTTTTAAGTTTTATTAAGAAAACAAAAAAATGTTAATTACTTCTTGTGCCAGGAAAGATTCCTTGTAAGGAATTGTTCTTTCTAGTGGTAAAATTTGACTTAACTTTTCCTTCAGTATGAACGACAGATTCAGAGAATGGCTTGAGTTGGAAGGGGCCTTAAAGACCACTTCCAACTCTCTGCTGTGGGCAGGGTGCCACCCACTAGACAAGGTTGCCCACACAGGAGCTAAAAGGTAGTGAAGGCCCACCCAAGTCAAAGAACACAAAATTAGCTCACCAGTTTATAAAACTGGATGAGGATATGCTCTGAAAGATAGCTGCCTGTCCTTTGGGATCAGTGACGCATCCTGAACTCATCTGAGAACGATAAAAGCAGAAACAATTGAAAGGGCAAGGAGAAATCTTATACTTGGACCCATTCTAAATTCATGTAGCATTCTGGAGCAAGAGGCTTCATAACGTGGCTTACAAGTAGGGACAAACAGACACAGATAGCCACAGCAGTTCTCAGTGCGTTCATAATAAGCTCACACAGGAGATGTGCTCAAGCATAACAGGAGCTGGTGACTGTTGTCTTTGAAAGGCAAAAAGTTCATTGGCTGTAGGCACAAAATTTAATCTAATCACAGGTGATTATGTTTATCACGAGGAAACCAGTCATGATTTCAAACAGCAAACGTAACATTACTGAAATTCCAACACCAATATATTAAAATATGCTGCTGTCTGAAAAGTCATTACTGACGACAAATACATGGAGCAGGAAACAGCTTCCACGGTCCAGGGCAGATTCTGTATCTTGTAATGGAAGGCATCGGGTAACTGAGCAAAGACGCTGAAAAGGTGAATTAGTGGAAATCAAAAGATCATACCAAACGGTTTGGTAGATTGTGTTACAAGCCTGATGATTCACTGGCTCTGACGGATGAGCCATGTGTGCTAAAGGCAAGGCTATAGCAAGACATCTTGACATAAGATCTGCTCTCATTCCTCTGTTCCTTTCCTCCAGCCCCCCTGAAGCTGCTCCGCTCTGCATCCTGCCCTCACCGTGCCTCCACAACACCCAGCGGCGACTCGAGCTCATTTCTGGTACGTAAAAAGCGCACGTAAGCCCGCACTTTAAGTATGCAATCGCTCGGCACAGCTCGGAGCCGGAGATTGCTCCCGGTCTCCCCGTGGAGCAGCAGCTGCGCCTCTCCGGCCGGGGCGGCACCGCGAAGCATGCGCAGAGGCCGCTTCGCCCCTTCCGGCAGCGCAGCGGAGCGGGGCAACATGGCCGTCGCCGCGCCCGCCGCCCGCTGGGCCAGAGCCGCCGCCGTAGCGGCGTTGCTCCTGGGGTGCTGCGGCGCGGTGCTCGCCAGCGGCATCCAGGTACGAGGGCTGGAAGGAGAGCGGTGGTGGGGACAGAGGGCGAGCGGCGCCGCAGACTCCGTTCTGCTACCTGGGCGCTGCTTTCTTCCTTCATCTTGCCGCGAGCCCGGACTGCCCCTGGTGGGGTGGAGCCCCGCCTCGCTCCGCCCCAGCGCGGCTGCGGTGCCGTTGCCTCGGGTGTGGGGTGTGGTGTAGGAGCGCGAGCACGTGCGGGTTGCTTAGGGAGCGAGAAGAGTTGTTAAAAAACCCTCCTTTCATTTAATACGTTCGCTGCCTCCTGAAATGCAGTTTTGCTGTGGTCATGCAGTATAACTTTCAGTTGCGCAGGCTCACTTTGCCTTTCTGGACATTTGCAAAGCCGTGTGTGAATAAAGAGTTCCCCCGGCCTTCATGCTGCAGTTTTGCCTGCTGTGAGCGAGTCTGCGGGCCGCATCGCCTGCTGCGTTGATTTCTTATATCAGCAATGTGCTTTTTGCACGGTGCACTTATTGCTCCTGGAGTCCCGGTCCCGCTCGGTGTCCTGATGCTTGCAGTTTGCAAAGCCTGCGGGGAGCCGTGATTGATTGAGGTAGTGGACTGCTATTGTCCTGGCTCCTTGTTTCTAAACATGGGGCATAAAGTATAGGTTGACTTCTCTGCTAGAAACAAGACTAAAGACTTTTTCTGAAGAAACAAAAGGAACAATAAAATAGAACTTCACCCAAGCTCCTTATCTCACTAAGAAAGAAATTGTAAGTCAGTAAATTAATGTATTTTGTTCTTGGAGCATACTGTGGTATAGACATGCATAGGCTTTCCTTGTTAACTAAGCTGAAAGTGACTAATGGATCTTCTTGTTGTTTAGCAAGTTTCACGGAAGGGATAAGAAAAATCTCTGGCTTTGAAGCTTTGGTAAATTTTTTTTTAGGTATGCTAAGTCCAAGAAATCAAATATGCTTTGTTTTGTGGAAACAAAAATAGAAATGATCGTTTGTTTCTTTCTGCTGAAAAACATCTAATATTGTCTCCATCTCTCAGGATCAAGCAGAACAGTTCTTCAAAAGCGGGCATACAAATAACTGGGCAGTTCTGGTAAGTGTAGTTCTGGCAAATTCTACAAAAAAAGGTTTTCAGTTTTTCATAATGTACTGTATTTGCAACAGTTGTGCAGTAATTCTGTTCATTTGAAAGAAATGGAATGGAAGGATAAAGACTTGGAAATAAATAAATTTGAAGTGATCCCTGCAAATCTATTAACTGTAATAAAATTATCTGTTCCGTGTAATTACACATCAAGCACTCAGAACATACAGTTACATGGCAGATTTCATTAAAGTAAAGTTCAACAGCATTAAAACAGTTAAATTATCACAATGCATATTGAATTAGCATGTAGTTATGATATCAGAGAGGTATGTCTCTTTGACCAGGAAGGTATAATTTGTTTCTGATTTGTGTATCCTTAGTCAATCTGTTAACTTGTGATAACGGGCTTAGAATAAAATAAATTGAGGAGAGATAATGTTTAAATCAACAGTTGTTAATTTTTTTTCTTTGCCATGAATCTTTTATTAACTTTGAATCATACTGCAGAATTGGTTCTTAATCACAGCTCAGGTCTTAATGACTAATTTGTTTCAGAACACTATCATGATTACTCGGTAGCAGATGTTTGTTTTACAGATACTAAAATTTAACAACATAAAATGAAAGTAAATAGTAATGAATTGAATTAGAAGGAATAATTTCTATAAAGTACAAACTAGGAACTATTAAAACATCAAGTATTTCTTTTAATGCTATTAACAAATAAACATTTTTGTTAGAGTGCTTAATAAAAAGATGAAGTGGAATGTTCTGTCTGAATAACTATACTTTCTATCCTCAACAGATTCTCTGCAAATTATGTATTTTTAAACAGTTCATAATTTGTCTTTGTAACAATTATTACAGATTTTCTAAGTGATAAAATAGGGAGGATTTGGCTGCCATCAATGGCTTCAAGCCTGGGCATGTTTTCTACTGTGTTGTAAGAGGTAATGGAGGGGATGATAAAAGTCACAGCTCTATTTGCTGGGGTCAGTTTTTAGAGCTGTGAGTCTTGCTGAAAGGCAAATGTACACGTGGGAGTTTTTGAAATTTGTAACTGAATGGACTTGAAAATCCTTCCAGACTGAATTTGGATTTTAAGTTTCTTTAAGTATAGAGAAAAAGATGTTAGATGGCACAAATTTGCTTAAAGATATTTCTATTTAATTTGGAATTGAGGAATTTAAACTGTCTGAAATGCTATGGTCATTCCTTCTTTTCTATTTTTCTGCTTTTAAAATCAGATCTTTTATAAAGCTTTTTTCTTCATCTGTCTGAAAGATTGGTAAAGCAAAAGGAATTTTTCTGCAAAAGAAGGTTGCTGTTGGTGTAGAACAAATGAGAAGTAGTGAACTTGATGTAAACACAAGGACAGTGATAAGGCCAACAAGGAACCTCTGAAAATTTTGGAATCTCATTGGTTTGGAGCTTTTGAGGGCAGATTAAATAATATCTCACCTGGGGAATTGATCTCTTCCAACCTTAATGATGCTGTGAATGACTCATCCCCAACCCTTCACCTTGTTAATCTAACTGAATTCCTTTGAAATTTTTTGAGACTTTGTGTTCAGATTTTGGTTAGAGTTTATGTAGCTCTTTATTATGTTTGACTCCTTAAATGCAAAGTACTCTCATTGTATTTTCCCCAGTGTGGTTTCTGCATGAATTCACTTATGCATTTATGCAGTCGTGCTCCCAGAAGGGGTTTGCTATAGAGATGAAAACTCTTCCTTAGATTTTTCTTTTATTGGCTATGGAGACAGTAAGAGGAAATAGAATAGCTTATCTGCTCACTGTTCTTGCTGGTTTATTCCCTAAAATGGCTTTTTCTATACTTAGTTGGGTTTTATGTCAATTTTGTCATGAGCAAACACCTAAAACGCATTTTTTTTTTAACATTTATTTTCCACATTTATTTCTTTGGTACAGCAAAGGTTCACATGTATATAGCTTACATCATGACTTTCTTGATGTTGCTGTTTTCTTTCTGATTTGTTACTTTGTTCAATACCTGTTATCAGTGTCTTCGGATGCATAAGCCAGGCCTCTGTGTATTTTACACTACTTAATGTGGTGCTGTTTTTTCTCTTTCCTTAAAAATTCAAGGTATGTACGTCTCGATTCTGGTTTAATTACCGTCATGTGGCAAACACTCTTTCAGTATACAGAAGTGTCAAGAGATTGGGCATTCCTGACAGGTGAGGGGATCTTGGTGAATCCTTTCAAATGTGCTACTAAAGTCTTTCTGCTATGTGAAGCAGTATGAAAATACATTTTTCTTCCCAGTTTAAGCTAACTTAGAAATAAACATTTATCACGGTTCTTAGGTGTGCTCTTTTGTGTTGGGGTTTGCTTGTTTGTTTTGAAAGGATTTTTTCCTTGTTTTAAATCGAACTGTCTGGTGGTTTAAATTACTTGTCATCTAACAGAAGAATTCATTGGGAAAATGGTTTGTGCGTCTATGAATATAGGTTGCTCTGATTTGCTGATGCATGGGCACAATGATTCAGTTTGTAAGAGGAAAGTTCTGCTAGGATAAAACTAAACCTAAATGAGTTAAGGAATAGTTTTTGATTGCTGGAATCATTATGTGGTTTAAGTTTTACAGTATGGGAATAGCAGTAACATACATGATTGGATTACTTTAGTTTAACAGTTAAGCAGCAAATTAACACCAAAATTGTTTGGCTGGATGTAGGGACAGTGTGTTTTTTAAGAGTGCATATGGTGCATGTTTGCGCTCAACTGTCTGCATTTTATTCCAAATGAAGTAATTTACTTTGATTATTTTTGAGGATCTGTGCTTCAGTTATTTTGGGTAGCATTTATCTTTCTAGCGTGTGGAGCGTATCAGCACTTAATGAACAACAGAATTACTCTTAAAATACTCATGTAGACAAACAGGCGGTGACATAGTAAACAAACAGTGACCTCTTGGTGTTTCATGTATTGACCAAATCCTGACCCTGCCACATGTAGATGTCTGGCTGCATGCAGGTTGGTACAGTATTCTAATAGTCCTTCAGGTGCTAATTTTTTTTGTTTTTAATGTTACTGTGAATAAGACAAAATCTGTCAGCTGTCAACTCATATGTGTTCCATAGAAGAATTTCCGGTTAGTGCTACTAACCATGCAGCACTGTATCAGATGTAGTATAATAGTTTGAAGAATGTTTGCGAGCTCCTCAGATTTAATGAACAAAATGATTTTCATTATGTTTTTAATTGCTCTATTTGAAAGGGCACAGACAGGCTGGGGTTTCTTCTGTGGAACTGTATGAAGTGATTTAGCCCTGTTCTGTCACCTAGCTCTATGCGAGTCTGTACCATAGAGTTGCTAGTGTTAACTGCATATTCAGCTTTGGCCTGAGTGAAACCTGTTGCTAGATAGCAGCTAGCTGCATTTCCCTCTGTGATAACTCTATCAGTGAGCGTGTTCATAAGGAAATACCATGTAACTAAGCAAATCTTCACTTACAATGACAGGCATCTTCTTGATGTCGTAAGCTACTCTTTTAATCATGGGATAATTTTCTTGTAATTTCCTTTAGATTTATGTCTTCCTTGTATTTCACAGTCACATTGTCCTGATGCTGGCAGATGATATGGCATGTAATCCCAGGAATCCTAAACCAGCTACTGTGTTTAGTCATAAAAACATGGAGCTAAATGTCTATGGAGATGATGTAGAAGTGGATTACAGAAGCTATGAGGTAGCCATGCTTTAAATTATTGGATCTATGTTTTTATATCTTGCAAATGCTCAACACCTATGTGACACTTTCAGTGTGCAAATGAAATGTGCTGTAGCTATTTATATTTCTGATCTTAAGCTTATGCTTTTATTAAAAAAAATACCAAATCCCATAACCTACTTTTTTTTGTAAAATAGTTACTATATAGAAATCTATTAACCTAATTAATCTATTAATATAACACTAACAATAGTGTTCTATTGTCTTTTTATTTTTGTGTCATATTCTTTCAAATAGTTTACCAGGAGATCTTAAAGCAGACAACAAATAAATGATTTAATAGTGCTGAATAATTGTTGCTGAAAGTTTATTGGAGCATCTAAAGGCATACATAAGATGTGAAGCTTTGTATAAAGAGATGAAGATACTGTACCAAAATGGAAATGTGTTGTTTTTTTCTTATGTTCTTTCCTGAGTATGGATTTTTGCTAGCATTTGCTGCGTGTGTCTGGACAGCAAATGGAGTTTTATAGGAGGTTTTACGATCACCATCTTGATGATATCTGATCACACAAAGACTTATGTAACTGAAATTGATCTTGTTTTTCCTCTCCTGAGTTGCAGAAGTAATTTAAACTTTTATTTTTCCATGGCAACACACAGAAATGTTGGAGCATTTTGTGAGCACGTGAGCATCTTTGACAGAACAAAGGTATACACTGACAGGTTTTCAAATCAATGGAAAACGTATTTAGAAATTAAAATGATAGTAGTCTTATTGGGTATAGTAGAACACCAGGCTGATATTAGTGAGATATAGTAAGAGATGCTGTGTAATTGTGAGCCTTACTGCAGTAAAAGTCTTGAACAAGAAGATGTCTGTTGATGCAGTTTATACCATACAGTATTGCATCTTACTGGGTACACTGCATGTTGTATTGTTCCATTATATTTTTTTTAATGTAATCCAACCTAGAATTGTTGACCCATATTTTTATCTCTAAAAAATTACTTTATGCTTCTATTCTTAGGTTACTGTGGAAAATTTCTTGCGTGTGTTAACAGGAAGAATCCCACCAAGCACTCCACGATCTAAACGTCTTCTTTCTGATGACAGAAGCAATATTCTCATATATATGACGGGTAATTAGAGTTTTGTGTATACACTTCTACTGACATTTATTGTTCAGTTGGATGGATCTGTATGAAAGCATGAATTCTCATGAGGAGCCCAAACAAAAAAAAAGGATTGACAAATGATTTTTTTCCTTAACATGTCATGCTAACAAAGAAAACCTGTAAGACTGTACTTATTAAATGTAGTTTCCAGTCTAAATTATATTTTTACTGTCCTTGTGCTGAAGTTTTATTGGAGCAAAACAATTGTTTGTTTATTTTTTAAGAAAGGTGATCACCCAGACTAAATATCTTTCCTTAACCTACATACTTGCCTAATTGTATATTTTCTATTAGGCCATGGTGGGAATGGTTTCCTAAAATTTCAAGATTCTGAAGAAATCACAAATGTAGAACTTGCTGATGCCTTTGAACAAATGTGGCAGAAAAGAAGGTAATAAGAATGTATTATGTAGAGGTTAAGTACTGTATTTCATTAACATGCCTGAAATCTTACTGGTAGGCCTTACTAAACTTTCAACAGTGAATGCTGTTTGCCATCCATAGAATTAGGTGAAAATTTACATTCAGAAAGAAGAGTTTTAAATTTCACTTTCAGCTTCCTACTGTGAGAACTTCCCATAGAATTGATTTGGCTGAACTTGCCATTTTAAAATCAATCAGTGCAAAGTCATCTGTTCCTTAGGCTGGTAGTAGCTATCCTGGTGACTAGAAAGCAAAGTTCCTATATTTCAATCTGAAGAAAATTGAGTAAGAGGGCTGTTTTGTTTCTTTTAGGTACAATGAATTGTTGTTTATCATTGATACTTGTCAAGGAGCATCCATGTATGAACGATTTTATTCACCTAATATAATTGCCTTGGCTAGCAGCCAAGTAGGAGAAGATTCGTTATCAGTAAGTACATTTTTGTGGTCCTGAAGATGATTTTCAGAATATCTGAGTGAGTTAACAGTACAGCCATTGCTGCTTTTTTTTTTTTTTTTAATAACTAAAATTTTCTTTCTAATTGTGTACTGTATAATGTGTTTTGTTATAAAGTGCAGCTTTGACAAAACTGTAAGGTGTATCTTCCTGCTTTTGTGGGCTGTCACAAGGAAACAGGCTAATATGTTTTATTTTTTGATGTTTTCTATCACAGAAATAATAGCAAAAATCATTATGTATATTATATATATATTATGTATTATGTGTATATATATATAATTATATATTATATATTATATTATGTATATAATATATATACGTATATATATTAAAATATATATACGTATATATATTATATATATATAATATAATTATGTATATTTTATACATGTAAAATAACAAAAAATTATAATTGACAATGCAAAAGGTATTGTACATGTAAGGAAGATGATGACTCTCCTCTTCCTTTGTCTACATGTTGATTTTTAGCTCTGCCTGTCAACACTAGCTTTTATTGGTGTATCTTCGACTGACACTATCTTGCTCAGTTCCAGTTCAGTTCTAAAAAGTTTCCAAGGACTTGGAAAGGTTTACAGAAATTCTGAGGACCCACATGTCCAGTGAAAAGGAAAAGGCAAATCATCTTCAGCTAATTGCTGATAGTTAAAGGTGGTGATAGAATTCTGTGCTTCCTGGTTAATTTATACGTTACCTAGATTGGGCAAAAATCTTATGGAAAGACTGATGAGAGATCTGAGAGGGGAATATTCAGTCTTGTGTTTCTTACACTTGGTATATGGAAAAAAAACCAAAACAATACTTATACCCCATTGACATTACAGAAAGAATGATAGGAAAGAGATCCAAGCCAAACTGAAAATAAGTTCTCTTTCTCAGCTCTGTTTTCCAAGCCCTAGGAAGCTGGGGATGGTACATAAATTCACTGGACTTCTAAGAAGGGAATTCCCAGCTTATTGTCTAGATGTAGTCTAGAAAAATGAAAATGATCCATGTATTACATAGTTCACCACCAGAATATTTCTTCATGAGTGGTAATTTGCTTTGTGTAATTTTCTTAGGAACAAATAACACATTATGCTTAACTTTTGTAAGATACTATTATATGCTGTTCCCTTCTCTAAATACTGAGTTCTGTTCTGCAAATGCCCTGTAACTGTTTCATATTATTTTGTAGCATCAACCTGATCTTGGGATTGGTGTTCATCTTATGGACAGATACACTTTTTACATGCTGGAATTCTTGGAAGAAGTTCATCCAGCCAGTCAGACAAATATGAATGACCTTGTAAGTAGAATCTCAACGCTCAGCAATTTATTTTTTCATGGTGTTCTCCAAATGCTTTCTGTACAACTACTGTTTGTCTTAGAAGTAGCTTTGTGGGGAGGGCCTTTCTGCCATTATTAAGCAAAACAGTAGTGTAACATTTAGAGGATTGTCCTTTGTGTGAAAGTGGCTTATTGGCTACAGAAAAAAGTTAACCAAAACTAGCCATTAAAAAAAAAATCATTGAAAAATAAATAAAATTTGTTAAATATTTAAATAAAATGATTGTGCATAAAAAAAAATAGTTGGAAACTTCTGAAATATGTAAAATCAACTTAATGGATAACAGGCACTTTGTGGATATGGAAAGGCAACCACTGGTAGAATTTTGCAAAGTTGATTAAACAGTTAAAATTCTATTTGTGCACTCACAAATGCCTATAGAGGCTGATTTCTCCACTTAGCTTCCAGACCAAGAGATGTCTAAATCTGTCTGTGTTTGGAGTATATTATAGCTTAGGTGAGTACTGAAAGAAGCTTTCAGTTAAGAAGCAGTGAAAAAAAAACAACCAAGATAATCTAAGGTAAAATGTGTGCAAACGCCCTTGTAACAGTTAGATATATGCACTGATAAAATTGCATAAAAGGTGGCCATCTTTTATTATTTTATTAACCCTTCATGCCTGTTCCAAGGCTAATTTTGCTATAGTTATATGTTCTGCTGTGTTGCCTTGTAGCTGTAAATCCTGATGCCATGACTGTATCAATGATCTAGGCGCACCACTGACTGTGCACACTGTGTTTGATAAATTTGTGTAAATGGAGCATCTACTCCTTTGTCTACAGAGGCTTGTCCTAGGCTGGTTGTCAAATCTGTAGTAGAATTCAGTCTAAACAGCTCCCACTTAACAGATTTTATGTTGATGTAGAATTGATTCAGTGACTAAGATTCATAATTCCTTTACTGGAATGAGAATGAAACTGGCTTGTAATTTAGTACCTGTCTGATCACAAAATACAGAAAAACCTTAAAATCAATCTTGTTAAAGAAGAATATGTAAGTTTTTTATTGACAGCACTTCTGCTTCTACCTTGTTCATTCAAACAGCGTTCTAGAATTCTGTTTTGTAAACTAGAAAATGAATTGACATTAAATTAAAAAAGATACTAGATATTAGTTCAGGTATTGTCAACAGTACAGAAAATGTCGTAGGTGGTCAAGTAGCTTACATTTTGGGCTCTTTTGAGAAGATACCTAAACACTCTGCTTTGCATTTTTGTTTTATGTTGTATGCCGAATAAGTAGGAAGGCCCATGGAAACTTACACAGATAAATTACTGACGTCTTGTAAGACATCACAGCACGAATCTCTTTATTGCTGCTCTGGGAAGGGGAGGGAATAGAACCAATTATGTGAGACGGCTTGAAAAAGTACTGAATCATGATATACATATATTTCAGCAGTTGTGTTATAGGATTCATATAGGTATATTTGGCACTGGAATACCATGTTAGTATTGTTCTGGGTTAAGAAAAAAGAGCTAATGCTTATGCAAGCCTGATTTTTAAAACTGACACTTGGGAAGTCTGGGCAATATGTTAAGTGGCTCACTTAACGAGTTCACTCATAGCTGAAGTGTAGTTGTTGACCATCCTTCTGTGTCTGATGTCTACTCTTTCAGAAGAAAGTATTTGTTACATGGTGTCCATCATATCACCTATGTAATTTTCTCCAGCCTCTCTTTAAAAAGCTTCACTTCACATCCGCCTAAGGTTTGGATATCACATTCCTGTGAAGAATGAGGCATCTTTCCTCCACCTACTTCCCACCTGTTCCATCTGTGTTGCTAAGGGGATAGCAAAAAGCTGTGCAAATGACTGAATTTCAGTTTGATTGCAATTCCAAAAAAGTAAAAAGTAATGTGCCACACATTCAAACTTTCAAAATCAGATTCACGTATGTTCTATATGAGACCTGATTTGTCGTAAAATAACTTCAAAATGTGGCAAGAAAATTTCAAGATAACAGAGTTTCCATTTGCGGAAATCAGATGGTTTTATTTAATTAGTATCTTAATTAAAAAGTTTGGAAACAGCAGCGCATCAAGAAATGTGTTTCATTTAGCCAGTTTCTTGCTTTTTGGTTTTTTTTCTCCTTTAAAGACCTTAGTTATCAAAGTGCTAGTCTGTGATTGCTTTGCAGTCCTTTTTTCACACAGGTACTGGGTAGTTGGATTGTTAATACTGGAATCCTCTTTTTCTCAGTGCCATTACACATTTTTGTTCCAAAATTGTCTCAAAATTGTCCTATGGTAGTAAACTGTTGTGGGACAGGTTGCAAACACTTGAATTGTGGTATCTGTTTCACACTTTCAGAGCTGATGTAGTTGTTTTGCAATATGTACATGTATTCTAAGAGCTTAGAAGAGAGACCTTCATATTACACTTGGTGTGACCAATGACATCATCTCAGCACAAAGCAGCTTTGAGTAAAAAATGAACCCAAAATAGGGACAGTTATGGCAGAGTTACTGAGTCAGAGCCACTAAGCTCTGCTGACTGTGCTTTGCTAATTAATCTGTACAGCTTTTCTTCCGCTTACTGAGTGATATTTTTGCAATGATATGTGATCTATTTTTTCCATCTTGTATTATAAAATGTTATTTTTCTTTTCCTATCAAAAACTGTATCTAAATACATTTTTCTAATTGTAGACAGGTATTTTTCCCTTTTTTCAGGGATGCTCAGTATTAAATAATGCTGGAGCCATTAGTTCTGTCCTCTGTGTTAATGTTAATATATTTAATATGCATTATAATTAATTTCACTTAGCGAGAGTTTAAAAAGAAAATGTATATAAGTTGAATAAATCAGAACCCCAGGATATCTGCTTTCAGTTCTTTCTCTATTAACAAATACTGTATTTCAACAAGGAGTGTTGGTTATCTTCTGAATGTTCATATGTGATCTGGAACTCTACCACCCAGGAAGACAAATTTGGTGTTTAGCTGTATTTGGGTTTTGACTGCCACAGAGAACAGAAGCACATTGCAGGGTGCTGGTGTGCTTTGGAATTCATGCTTTCTAATAGGTTTTTAAGGAGTAGTCAATTATGTATAGAAAATCTATGAGGGACACCATACGTTTTATGCAATGATATTTTAAGCTTTTTTCCATTCTGGAAAATAGCATGGAAAGTAACAGCTTTTCTGCATCAAAATGACAGCTCTGATTTATTTGAGTGACTTTTTTTTTAACAAAATTGTTGTAGTTTAGGTGAGAGAACTACCATCTGTGTCTGTTTCTTACTGTCCAAAAGAAGTTTACATTTGAAATACATCAAGGTAGATTATGAGACGCAATGATAAATACACTACCTTTGATCTGAAATGTGCTTGCTTTTCAAGTAGGTTGAATACTTTACTTTCAAATTATAAACCTACAGATCATTGTTTTACTGCACTGATTTATACCTTCAATAATATTTTTTTTTCCTTAGGTTTTTTGTTTGTTTTAAAATGCCATGAGCTTTTTATCATCCTGTAGTGCTTTCTTGAGAGTTGTAAAAGGCAGGTGGAAGAAATGCAAGCAGTTCCAGGTGCAGGAACAATTGGTGAGACTGGTGCTGCTTCTTCAAGAGTTAAGGGATGGTAACTGTGTGAGAAATAAGTGGCTGAAAAGCACTAAGCTTCCAACAAGCTATTTAGTGTGTCCATTGAGTTAAACTTAAATAAGTGATTAAATCATCTGATATAATATCCTGCATGCTCTTGGCATGCTCTTGTTAACAGGCTATTGTAATTCTACTTAGAAATGTGGTGTTTTGTTTTTTGTTTTTTGGCCCAGAAAAGCATTCAGTTTGTCTGTGAAAGCGTAGAATTAATCCACTGAAAGTTTATTTTAATGGTCAGACAGCTTTACAGGTAAACCTGTGCTTGTAATTTTTTCTGCAGAGATGGGCATGTGATGAGATTCACTTTGCCCATGAGGATGGGGCTGTTATGCAGTGTCATGCAGTCTGTACGTGTGATATTCTCCCAGCTGAGTCCAGTAACTGAAGGCTCTGAGGAACACTGATTAGATCCCTTCTCTGTACATGTTTACTGCAATGATTTTGCAGATCTCACTCTTAAACTGCATTTGTTGAGAGCAAGAAAGATGTTTTTGAAGTCTGTGTTTTAGGAAGGAAATGGAAGTATTTGCTGTGACCAGCAAGGCAAAAGTTCAGTGGGTGCTCAGATAAAGAGAGCACGTGGCTCATGTTCCTTTAGTAGCTAACATAAAGCAGAATTGCAAAGCAGCTCTTTCTTTGATGTCTTTGAAGCTATTTGCAGTGGTTGCCTATGATCAATAAACTTTTGACTTGCTGTTGGGAGTCTGTTTGGGGCTGATAGAAGGCAGCTGCATTGAAAGGTCATTCATAATTTGTTGAGTCATTCGTTCTCATCGTATGTTCTTATACTGGTGTTAACAGTACAAGAATATAAAAGCATTGTAGTTCTTAAAGTGTTTTGTAGCCTTTCTAGCCATTACCCCAACATAAAATATAGCTGCAGCAAAGATTAATGTATCAAATAGAGGGGTCGAAATAAATATTTAACTTATGTAGCTTACTTTGGAGACAGGTTTTATGTTTGTGCCCTTACTTCAAGTTGGAGAAAATGTATTGTCTTTTGATGAAACCAAGAAATGAATGTTTATGTGCACTGGCAAGTGTCTTCTGTGTGTACGGGAAGCATGATGCTGGTCAGTCCAGTTCACTTCCACTTCACATGGAGGATAGCGAAGATCTTGTTCAGGAGATGTGATACTCTGCAAACAAGATAAGTGGGAATTACTGAAAAACAGCTCAGCGGATCTGTGTGCGTGTATCCATCGTTTAGGGTAAAGGTTAATGTGAGCTGAAGGCTCCCTGGATTTACAAGCTTAGACTGTAAGACCAGGTATAAAAGAGAAGTTGTAGTAGGTGCAGAAGGGAGGAACAGTGAGACAGAATCTGTAGTGGGACCATTGCTTTCTCTCTGAGAAACCTTTTAAGAAAAGGGTTCTGCTGTCCTAAAAAAAAAAAACAACTACCATACAAACTTGTCTATTTTGTGCTGGGCTGTGCAAAGAATTTCTGCTAGGAGGTATGGAACTGAAACTTACAGGTTTTATCTGTCAGCGTCTGTGATAATTGAGGCTGCATCTGCACTGAGCTAACTAGGACCTGTGATTCTGCCCTGAGAATGCAACCAGCTGACTCATGACAGAATCAGGTGTATAAGATTTATATCATGTAACCAGTGGACCTGTTTGTGAAAATCACTTGGAAGATGTCATTTCAGGAAGGTAAGCGTACTTGGTAGTCCCCTGCATGAATGTGCTGTGTTAAGTATTCTTTGTTGCTAGAACACACAAGGTTGCATAACAAACTGTTACCGCACAGCCTGCAGGCTGTTGGAGAGGCAGTTGAGTGGGCAGCAACATTTGGTCAAGAAGCTGCTCAAGGTGCTGTTGACCTTTCACCTGTGTCTTAGAGGGTTGCTTGTCTCTGCCTGTGTTTGGCGGGGTTGTGTGTTTAGTTATGAAATGCCTTCTGTGGACTGAGACACAAACTCAGCTTTCCCAGCTCAGAGGCCAGGAAGTGGGGCCCTGATTGACTTTCACAGCTATGCAATTTGAAGTCATGTAATGTTACTAATTAAACTACAAGCTATGTAATCTAGGAGGTACCCTGGAATAAGGAATCTGTCTGGATGGAAAATGCTAAAGACTTGTGTGGGCAGTGTAGTAGGACCTGTGCAAAAACCCCCGATCCAAAATTTTCCATCCAAAATCCACTGGTTTTGCCTTGAGTAACTTCTGGATTTGTAACAGTTCTACTGCTTAATAAGCATGCTACTTAGTCAGATATTTTAAGTATTACAACTAATGTGTCGTCGTTGTATCTACTTTATTCAGTATAAAGATACATTTGCAGAAAATGAGTCCATCTAAACTAGTTTAATTTGTTAGTGTTGGTTTTGCTTTCCCACTGTTGGAATTTGTGCTGGAGGTAGTGGAACGGATAGGTACATAAAATTAATAGAAAAGTAGATAGCTAATTTGTAGGTGTTACAGGCATGTCTGTGTGAATTTAATGTGCATAGTACACCTTTGATATTTTAAGGTCCTCATTGAGTATTAATTCATAGGCTGTAAACCAGAAATAAGGATAAGGATTTTTTTTTTTCTGATTAAAATTTAAATTCTTGATTCAATTTTAAAACCTTCACAGCTAGCTACTTGTCATGGCTTGTGAAACTTGCCTGCCTCCCTTTGGTAAGCATGAAGAATTTATACCACCTTTTGCTTTTTGGAAGATACAGCAGTGTTGGTGCTTCTGTATTCAGAAATGCATTTTCACATTTAATCGGTCAGTTGCAGTTGGCTTTCACAAAAGCATTTCTTTGCTCATATTGATAGCTGAGGATTAAGGTTTTCTATTTATGCTTTTTAATAATTTTTTATTATTTTTTATTTGTAATTTTTAATAATGCTTTTTATTTCAGTCCCTTTTCTTTGGCTGTGGAGCTTGTATGAAAATTAAGGGTACTACCAAAATTTATGTATGGTATTTGTCTTAATTTTATGATCATTTCACTTTGAAAAGTACTCGTAGAAATTGTTGATCAATGTGGGACATGATATGACTTTCCATATTTGTTTCCAGTTTCAGGTCTGTCCAAAAAGTTTGTGTGTTTCAACTCCTGGGCATCGAACTGATCTCTTCCAGCGAGACCCTCAAAATGTTCTGATAACAGACTTCTTTGGCAGCGTAAGAAAAGTGGAAATTACTACAGAGACAATTGCTTTGGACCGTAATTTAGCTGGCTTTGAAAGCAAGTGAGTAGTCATTATCTATTATATTTAGTATATTATTTAGCTTTGTTCAGCAGAAACAAAACTGCCTTATAACTGTCAACAGAAGCAGAACTTTGTTTTCTGTGAAAGGACCAAGGAGTCAGTATGGACTGTTAATATTGATAAAATGGAGATTTGTCAGTGGAGAGCATTCTGTTTAAGAAAAGTTCCCACTCCTTCATTCCATCTTCCAAGTAAATACTTCTAAAGACCAAGGTGTGGCTATCATCATCAACAACAAAGAAGGTAGTCTAAAATTTTCTTTCTTCTTTGATAGTTTAATGTGCAGAGACATTTTAATTTTTATTTTTAAAGTAGTTTACTCCTTCCGATAAGCTCTGAGTTCAAAGCATGGGTTGTTTCATTAATGTTTTCTTAATAAATGCTCTGTTTCTATTCTGCAAATTCTCTGCCTTTTGGCTTTAACTGTCCAGAGAATTTCAGTTGCAGAGATGTAATGATTTACCTGAATAACACTGCTGGTTTGCTGGTAGAGTTAATAGGGATTCTGTTTCTTTGTGGATGAAGAAGGAGTTACAAACTCCTTTGTATTTTTGGTATTCTGTTGCCACCTATTGGAAACATGTAAAGGAAGATGTGCTTGTACAGCAGTTTATTTGGCATTGTACTGCCATTTCTGATGCATTTTTTAGCTTTCACAATACTTTCCTCTAGGAGAGAAGAAAGAAAAAATTGTCAACTCTAACCAAGATTGTAAGATTTTTTTCAAACTCATAAATTTATGTGAGTTAATATTAACTGTCACTCAGATAAATTGTTAGTGGATATCAAGTTCATTAATTTTAAAGATAATGCTAGCTCTGGCCCTTGTAATTAATACTATCCTACACTAAGTCCAGTGTATTTTATAATTTAGTTTCATATTTTGCTTTTAACTATATTGTGCATGGTAGTACTAACCATATACAAATTAAATAATTCTTTGCTTCATTCAGAACAATTTAATGAAGCTAGATTTTCTTTTGCCTCTGAAATAAAAAACATTTTTTGCTAGGACACCATGTGGGATTCTAGTCTGTGGAAAATTTAAAGGAGAATCAGGTTTTAGACTTCTTAATTTCAGAGCTGCAAATTATATACCCTCCTTTTCAATTAAATGTAATAGTGAGATACATTTCTTGTTATGAAATCTTCTGGTTAAGGCTCTAATTAGATGTTATTTTGCTTTTAGAATACTAACAGTAAGTGAACTTTTTGTAAGCTTACTTTGTTACCTATGAGAATGCTGAATGCTGAATTGTACAGGATGCTTTCTTGGACCACCTCAATACCTCATTTGCTGTTTTTTCCTATGCAGCTTTCAGAATGAGCTAGGATGTTTTGCTGTTAGGATTTTTTTTCCTTCAATGTATATGAAGATACTATTTTTGTTTTATTTTATATTGATGCCAAATGTTAAAATAATTTTTTAATGAATTTTCACCTTAATCCACAAAAACCAGAATTTAATAATCTTTCCAAACCAGTCATAAATAATCTTGTTTGTGCTTAATAGTGTTTCTAAAAGCCTTTGTGAAAGCAGAAAAGTCGCGTAGAATGGAACTTGCACTCCTTTGGAATTTGCCTTAAAATGAACACACGTATTTGCCAGGAGGTGTCTGATACAGGAATCAGAAATCTATTCCCCCTAATACAAATGTTGCTGTGTTACGCAGGTCACTGTAAATCTGTGCTCGCTGCTCTTTTTCTGAGAAAATCTGTGCAAAATTTTGAATCTTTTCCTTGTTCTGAATTGTATTTGTGTCATTTTTGTTTGAAAGATATTTTGCAGTGTTATTTTATTTTTAACATTTGATGTGTTCTCTTCTGTTCCTTCTTTTTTAAATCATTTTCAAGCTTTTTCCTGCTGTTCTTACATATTGGTGGCAGTAGAGTGCTACAAAATATTTGTGTTAGGGAGAAAAATGGAAACAAAGTAGGGACCCCAGCTTTGATCTGGTCATTAGTGTGTGTTAGATTGGAGTTGTTTTTGTTATGAAGTTGCAAGGGTCAACGTGTGCAGCTAAGCATGTTGCTTGAAACACAACAACCAAACAAAACCACTGACTGCACAGGTAAGGGGCAGAGAAGATGCTGCTGTGTGATATGACCGTGCCTTGGAATTCTGCTGTTTTCAGGGCGAGGTTTCAGCTAACTCACTGTGCTGTGACTTTGCCAAATCTTTCCATGGATCTCATTTCTTCTGTTGCATGGTTCTTTAGCAATTACTTTGCAGTGTGGCTCAGTGCAAGCTCAGCACAAGCAGTTCCTGCACTGCGAGGTCAATGTCTGATGGTGATACCAGCTCTGGTAGTCCCAGTGCAGCCTTAGGAGTTTCCTTTGCTTGAGGTGAGCTCATATAAAGAAACGACAACTAGATAACCAAAAGGCAAAGCTTTCTTTCTATCTGTTTAGTAGTTGGTGACTATTTCAGACTAAAAGCTTTAAAATTGAGGTGGAAAAAAGGAATCCCCTGCCCTTTCTTCACAGTACTTTCATCTAAGCTATGTTCACTTCAGAGGGTTTCTTCCTGACTGGGCCTGTAGCTGCAACCTTCAAAACCTGGATGACATTCATGGACCCTGGGGCACTGGCTGTTATGTGTGTGTCTAAATCACTGTAAGAGCATAACATGAAGAATGAGGTGGTGAGTCTTAGAGACAGGTCTGTGTGGAGCTGAGCACTGCTGATCAGTGTGGGGTGTCTCAGCCTCGGATTGTGGCTGTACAGCATGTTAGATCACCTCCTGCTGCTCCTATCATAAGGAAAAGTTGTGTAACAGAGAAAACATTGGGAAAAATGAGGGGTTAATGTTTCCCTAAAGGTAGTAGAAGGTGAATTAAAGACAGCATCATACAAAACCATCCTAGTTTCATTGCTTTTGAGGTTTGGGCTTCAGATGTAGTAATTGTGCTGGGCTGAATTGTGCATTACTTTCAGGGGCTGTTGTCCTAAAACTAAAGAGTTTTAACCAAACCACTTGGCTTAGGAAGGGTGCTTGCGTGATAGAGAATAATTGTGAGTGATTGGTTTATTTGCAATACACTACTACCAAAGCTGTCTCCCATCCATTTTTTGATAGTAACTCTTTATTTCTGTTTCCTGTTCTTCTTTTCTATTGGCTATTTTCAGTTTTATGCACTTGATGGGTGCAGCTGCTGTTGTGTATTCCTGAATACAAAGGGATCCAGTTTGTGAACAAATACGTAATTTGTTTTCGCCGGTAGATGCTGCTCAGCGCAGTGAACTTCTCCTAAAATAGCAGAGGCTGTGTTTATTCAGAGATTGCTGTTAATTTTTGACCAGGTGCCTCAGTGTGTTTGGAGATCATCATTAATTTCTGATTAGGCGCTCGCAGAGGCGGGCGGGCGCCGGGAGGTGGCAGCAGCGCGAAGGCAGCCGGGCCGTGCTGGGATGGCAGCGGCTTTGGGTTGGGTTCCTTTTCCCCTTTATTTGATCAGCTTTAGAGTGAAATTAAATGAGGAGAGGAAGAAGGAGTTGAATTATTATTATTATTATTATTTATTCAGTGTAAATTCTGGAGAGGCTCTGTTTTTATTTTACACTTGCTGGACATCAGCACACATGAAGCATGCTCATCAGTTGTGCATGTAGTATACTTTCCCTTAATGCCTTACCATTGCAACAAAATGAATTCATAATTGTGGATGTTCTTAATCCGTAAGTGGTTTAATAGCCTACAACTAATTTAGAGAGTTTGAAAAAGTAATAGGCAGTTAAATATTACTGCTGTATTTCTTAAAGTATTTTGTAAATACATTTATTTTTTCTCTGCTTGCCTGGGAGAAGATAAATATATGTTTACATATGTGCATGTACACACACTACTGTGTTTGCAAATGTAAAAGTTAAATTCAAGGTAAGACGATTGCAATGGCAATAGTAGAAGTTCTATGGAAAGGTTGCTCCAAAAATAACGCTTCCTATTTTATTATTTTGGCCTGTAACATCAGGGGTGAGTGTTGATGGCACGGAAGTAGAGGTTGAACCTTCCCACCACTATCCCATTACATTTTATTGCTGTGCAACAGATGGCAGCAGAGGGGAAGTCTGACAGAATGGTGACCTGTATTGTGTATTATATGGTAGGATATGTTTTCACTAGTGTAACATGACTATAAAATAAAAAAGGATGACTGCCAATATCAAAAGGAACTGCTAGCTATAAATTGTCTTGGGAAAACCTTAAAAACACAAAGATATTATGCTTGGTTATTGTGCTCCCTGTTTAGCAGTAAAAAGCAGAGTTGAAGTTGAGTAATAGATTATTTTTTAAAAAATTTTTTTACTAATTTAAAGTATTTTTTGATGATAATTTTTACCAGAGATTTTTGCTGTTCATAAGAAAATATGTTTTCTTGCACAACTGTAGCTTGACTCAGATTTGTTTTAATCTTGGATGTATTTCCCCTTTTCTACCTTTAGTGGAGTTTATAGGGCATCCGGTATTTGTTCTGTGACAAAGCTTTAATTATTACTACTAGGCTGTGCTGCGATCATTTTGTGCGCTTCCAGTTGAATGCTACTCTGCTGAACCTATGTGCATAGAGTTTAAATAGGCATTGACACAAAAAAAGAAAACTGTTGATCTGCAGAGTTGCTGTGTACTGTGAATGCCCCACAAAGGTCACTTTAGATAAGGACTAAAGTACATAATAGTTAATGGCAATCTTTCTATTAACTTCAAACTTGTTCTTTGTAAGTGACTTTCATCTGCAAATTGACTTATGTGTTATAATAGTTTCAGGTACTAGACAGGTAATGACTGAATTAGTTGGATGTCAGATTTCAAAGGAGTCCTTCAGTAAATTTAGCAGATTTTAACAATCTAAACAGCTGAGAATATCTAGGAATCTCAGGATCTTCAGTCTAGATTATTTTTCATTGTTTATCTATTCCTTTTTACATCTTTATATGTAGTGTTCTTGGTTTTTTTTTCTTTCTTAATATTTCTTCACCTT